ATAAAGGTTACCTTAGATATATTCGGTCAAATCAAGTGCTGCTTCTACATGAAGATTGGCTAAATTATATCTCCAAGTCTCTGTCTTTTGCCCTAAATGTACAAACCCCCTGGAGTGCTGTTAGTTTAACTCTAAATATTACCCTCCCTCTTGTATCATTGTATGTTTGTTGCTTGCTTACCGTTAGCCTTTCCCTTCAGTTTGGTACTTACAAGAGTGTTAAGTCGTTCAATGTTTGCAAAATATCTTTTCTCTGTTTTAATTATTTCAACAACTCTCATTTCACCCCTAGTCTCTTCAGAACCTATGTATTTGATTTGTTTATGTAAATACATCATATTCTTCTGTAAATCTACAACACCAGAGACTTAGATTGTCTAATTACAGATCTCTTATCATACAACACTTAAGAATACAAACACTTTGATATTTGGCATTATTACTGTGCTGTTTATCTCTCTAGATGCCAGTAAACGCTGTTGAGAATATTTTGAACAATTTCTATTCTCCTTTTTGACTTCTGTTTCAGGCCTGCTATTATTTGCTATAACATGCCCAAAATAGGAGAAACGATGTTGCTTGTTCTAATTTCTCTCTGTTTACTTGATATTCATTGTTGGGCGCTCTTTAAAGAATCTGTCAATTACAAATTAGAACCAGTTGATGTAGACTAAAGAAGAAGAGACAAAAGGACGCATTAGAAAACTTAAAAATTGAAAGCTATATTCACCGAACCAGGGTTCAAAACGGTTATCTAGAGGACTACTGCACCTTGTATGAATAAGCGTACCTCTTACATAGTCAGTGGGTTTAGGCAATATTAGGCAATTTTTACTATAATTTATATGGTTAGGATGTAACATTACTGACAGAATTATGTTCAAAATCTAAATTACAGTAATGATATAAAAATTGCAACAAAAAGAAATTCTGCCATAACACTGTTTTGTCTGTATGTATGTGTGTGTTATGTATATATGTGTGTGTTATGTATATATATGTATATATGTGTTTGTGTGTGTATTTGCGTGTGTGTGGAAATATGAAAACGGACCGACTGACACGTGAACTCGGTTACAAGTGACAGGATTGTTTGAAAAGAGCAAGCTGGTGTCTGAAAAAAAAAAATGATATCTTGGCCACATGGATGCCGAGACAAAAGGACACACTAGAAAACTTAAAAATTGAAAGCTATATTTACAGTCCCAGGGATCAAACCGGTTGTCTGCAGAGGACAACTGCACCTTGTATGAATAAGCTTACCTCACACATAGTCAATGGGTGTATGGTTTTATTAGGTAATTTTAACCTTCAGTACTATGGTTACAGATGTAACATTATTGATAGGATTATGTTCAAAACCTAAATTACAGCAATAATATAAAAATTGCCACAAAATTCTGCTATAACACATTTTTGTCTGTATGTGTGTGTGTGTCTGTGTTATGTATATATGTGTGTGTTATGTGTATATATATATATATATTTGTGTGTGTTTGTGTATATATGTGTGGGTGTATATATATATATATATATATATATATATATATATATGTATATATATATATATATATGTATATATGCGTGTTTGTGTGTGTGTGTGTGGAAATATTATAAAAAGGGACTGACTGACACGTGAACTCGGTTACAACTGACAAGATTGTTTGAAGAGAGCAAGCTAATGTCTAAGAAATAAAATAAAAATAAAAAAACCGTGATAGCTTGGCCATATGGATAGGTGAGACAAAAGCACTAGCATGATCCCTGATTCTGGGATCATCTATGATGAGGAAAACATGACAGCCCAGGCGTCTTGGCAGAGTACGTGAAGATAAATATCCTTTTCTTTTTTCTTCTATTCTTTCTTCGCATTCACCGGCTGTAAACTCCAGCGAAATATTTTTGGTTGTCTCGTCTACTTCTATAATCTGGTCCTGTTCCAGAGTGTTGCCTGCGGATCCGTTGCACAGATCTGACTTAATTGCATGCAGACTGCTGGTTTCTCTCTCAGGCAGATGTACTCCTACTTCAAAGGAAACTCCCAATCGGTCGACTCATAAGAAATGTTTGCGCGCGTGTGTGTGTGTGTGTGTGGGGTGGGGGGGGGGGGGTAGGCAATAAATCTGTTTTTGTTTTCCCCACAATGGGATTCAGGAACCCACACAGGAAAACATCCTCTTCAAATATAACAACTTCAAGAAGTATTTTTATAAGAATAAGAGAGTTAAACTAATACTAACTTGTACCCTGACATTTATTCTAACGACTTAAGGCATGATGATTAATAATGTATCGTTTAATATCAGCTCTGATTAACCGTTACATTTATTTGTCTGTCCCACCCACAGCAATAGACGCCGAGGGACTCCAGGGGGCCACCAAAGATCTCTATTGGTTCTGATTATGTGCTCACAAAATTCGGGTCAGAAACCGAGGCAGGATTAACTGGCATGATTGCTGTCATGTGTTGCATTAGTGGCGAGCTGTACTGGCCGGCGGATTCTTGTGACTCCTGAAAAATTTCATGAGTTTGGTACAGTGGACACAAAAACATTTACTGTGACTTGTTAAGAGTATGTTACAATTACTTCATGCATTTATTAAGTCATCAGCGGTTTTTCGTTGTTGTTGTTGTTGCGTCTGTACAGTGGAAATTTATCTGGCTTTTCCCGATTAGTCCAAACCTGTGATAAATTGACAACGTCCGTTTCTCCAAGATACAGCTCAGGATTTGTCTTTCTTTCTGTGATTGCTGGATGCAGGTTTGACGCAGCGATGACCCGAAAAGCCATGGTTCGGATACAATTCTTGCAGGAACAGATCCTGATACCCGATCAGAAATGTATAGAATCCTTTTGAAACAACTGGTGTATCAGCTATATTGTGTCGGTGCGCTTTTAAAAAAAAGGGGACACTGCTGTCTTAACACCCCCCCCCCCCCCCCCCCCCCCCCCCCCCCCCCCCCCCACCGTCTTGCCCCCCCCCCCCCCCCACACTGTCTTTAATGCTTCTGGGAAATCCGCTTTGATACTGATAGGAACTCAAAACCCCCCGGGCCAGCAGGCGAGTATTTATCCTCTATACCATATCGGCTCTCAGGAATAGATGGAGTCTTTTTTTCTGTCTTTCTTTCTTTAAACAATATTAAGTCCCTCTAAGGGTCTGCTACCTGAAGGTTTGACATGACAACGACATTTCGGGTGTCAGTCAACCCTAACAGATCATACAACCCGTTCACTTGAGGATTAAAAAAAAAAGGTTAGAAACAGCAGCCATATGCCTACATCAAGAATTACCTTTATTTTTTCCTGTTTCTTATGAGGGTACAGGTAAAAAAGAGACAGATGGACAAGAATTGAAATCTTTCTAGGTTTTCTCCGCATCAAAGCTTTAATTAGCAACATAAATTATGAAAATAAAACTATTATATCACGATCACTATCGTTATTGTTATTTTCATTGCTGTTTTTCTAAGCTCTGCAATGTATAAAATAATATGATTGATATTTACTTTACCATACGTGTAAACTAGCCGGGGCATTATCTGGCTGTTAGCGGTCTTGTGTACAATTTTATCACCGGTAAAATGATTATAGATAGCCGCAGTGGTGTAGCGGCTAGACGCTCGGCTGCTAATGGAAAGGTCGTCAATTTGGGTCCTGACGGAGCCAGACCCTTTTTTCTTTAAAAATGACCTTAGCTGTCAGGTCGACCCAGCCTTACGTGGCTACGGGTGCAGTTATGTGAATTAAAGGCGGCTGGCATGATGCTAATCCACATCACCCACCCACTGCAGACTGGTCTATACAGTAAAGCTCTAGCCCTATATTCCCAGTACGCATGAAGATGTAAAAAAAAATGGGTCCACTACTCTACTCTTAGGATTACAGGTGTCAAATTACTAATGGGATTATGTTCCAAACTTTGATCATTTAGTAAGAAAACAGCCAGAACAACTACCAGCTCAGGCGCTACACATGAAAAGATCTTAAATGAAAGCAAGAGGTCGCCCTATGAGAAATGGATTGATGACATTAAAGAGCTTCTACACCGACATGGAATTACAATAACCATTGTTGCCCATCAAGCACTGAATTATTGCAAACTGTTTCTCCCCACACGCATAACGACAGAAGTGGAAATTGATGATGATGATGACAAAAATTGTCACGAACTGAAATTCTGGCATAACACATTTATGTCAGGTTTTTTTTCTCAACTGGGTTTTTACCCCAAACTTTGATCATCCATACGACTTCAATAGTTTCAGTGGGTGGCAATTTGACACAGCAAATCCCAAAAAGTCAGTTACACTTTCTAAGAAGTTGCATTTCGGATACCTGTAATTGCTGATGACTTGAAGGGAGACTCTTATCCTTTGCTTCGAGTCAACATAATTAGCACGACAAATGCTTGAACCGAATGACGTCACTGGATTGGTGGTTGTAATCGTATTTGCTAGTTACGTGTACTTACACAACTACCACGAAGACCTTCTCCTATGCAACTCACTACTAACCTAAACATTAGAGACTGAAGTTGTTAATATTTTGGGTAAATTCTTCTTGTCAAATGAAATACCATGGCAAACTGTGCACTTGTGGTGTAAGTAAAAGTAAGTAAAGTAAAGATCCCTTAGGCGCATTGGGCATATGGGAAGAGCACCCATATTTTTACAGACCAATCGGCGTTAGATGGGTAATGTGGTCAGCATTACGCCGGCCGTCTTTACTTCCACTGGAAAGCCATTCTGGTACCCATTTTAGGCTGGGTAGACCTGCGACGCCCTCATACTATGATAAAAATCCACACAGCCAACTGTGGGTTTCGATCGTGGTACGAGGGAATTACGAGTCGGACTAGCAACGCCTGAACCACGGACGCCGCATTAATGGCGTAGAAGGCAATAAAGGGACACAATACAGGAGCCACTGCCAAAAAATAAAAATAAAAATATCTAAGACACCATCTAGCCTCCAGAAAAATGCTTTCTGAGTTTATGGCACCCTTGCAAAACATCATAAACAAACAACAACAAATATATTTAAAATCGCGATTTTTTTTTATAAAAGCAGACTCTTGAGACTAATTTGCGAAGCGACCACCAATCCTTCCTGCTACACACTGGGGAAAAAAGTGGTTTTCTCATTTTTTATAGACACCCATATGTGGGATGCAATTTTTTGTTTAAAGGCCCACTTTGGCCTCTGGATATAGCCGGGACATAGATATGGCCTAATGGCTGAAAGGGGTTTCTGATACCCCTCCACGGGTGATCCTCATCAGCATGGTGGCACTTTGTGTCACCGGGTGTTTATCGCTTGTGTGATGTCCTGGACGGGTATAACTTACCTACCTACCTGCCTACCTCAGTTTAAAGCGTTGAGACATTTAATGGAACCGCGTGCAGAGGTAGCTGCATCTTCTATGGACTCTGACGCTCCGTTAACGACTATTTTAAATGAACACTTGCCGACATATTTATCAAAAGGAACGAATTGAATTTCTCAGTGTAAGAAGAGACTCCTACAGCTCTGCATACGATAACCCCAAAAAAATTTTTTTTTAAGATGAAAGAAGAAAGTGATATAATTTTCCTTTTATGAAAAGCTTCTTAAATTTAAAAAAAAAAAAATTAAAAACATCAGGACTCAAGAGAAAACAATTACTGAAAAATATTCAGCCGAATTTCACGGCTTTGAAAGACTAATTTGTAACATTAATTTCCTACATCTCAAGAGAAAGTATTTGTTGAAGTTTAATGGTTACTGAAATATGTTCATCTTGAATAACAGATCGACATCTCATGGCGAACTAAAATCAGCGTTTCAGAACCAAAGGTTTGAGCTGCATTTACAAGTTGAACTAAAAAATCTGGTTCTTCATCGCTTCCTTTTTTACCGCTTCGAGCTTATTTGGTCGTCTCGACCATAAGCAAATCCTGTTGGCGTGAAGTCTTTCTGATGATATCTTTCTGTGTTGTTCTTGATCTACCTCGTGTTATACGTTCTCTGCCTCTTTTTGGTGTATGACTTATGACAAAGCATCTACCTCAAACAATTTGTGCTATTTTGTATTTGTTTTGAGCCCGCTTTTTTTTTTTATCTCATGCCCTCATTCCTCAACGTATCACTTCTAGTCCCTACTACATCCCTTCTCAGCCGCTATACATATATATACAGTAGAACGAGTAATTCGCATAACGAGCAAAACAAATTGTAAAAGAATGACTTGCTTAACGAGCGACGTTTCGAATAACAAGTGGCGAGGAGAGGGAAAGTCCCGGATTGTGCGCATGTTACATCAGTCTGTGTTTAGCACTCGTTCCAGTAGCATCGTAGTGTTGCTTGTGATCACACACACACACACACACACACACACATATATATATATATAACATATATATATATATATACACATAAAACACACATATGATATACTAGCTGTTACCCGGCCAACGCGTTGCTGTGGCGTAATTTGAGATAGTCTTTATAACCCCACCCCCGTTAACGACTAAATCCACCTACTAACCCTCTCCCTCATCAAAGGAACCTAACAAGTAAAGACAGTGGAAATCGCAACCTGTCTAATGAAGTTAATGACGCAGTCAATGTCTGGCACGTCGAAATAGTCCTTGATTGCCCACCTCCCCGCCCCCGACCCCCCCCCCCCCCCCATCGAAGGTTGTTTTGAAACAAAAAACAGAAAATAGACGTGTTTAATATTATTGTGGCAGATATAGAGATAGTTTTGTTTGCTGCACTCGACCTACTCTATGTATTAGAGAAGGCGTTGAATGCACGTAACTCGCCGGCGAATGGCGGAAGGCCTTGCGTTCTATGACTACGGCGGCGCATGCGCAATTACTAACGTGGCTATAATTAGAAATCACTAAAGTTATAAATATTAGTTGCGAATATTATTGCATAAATTGTGGTCACCTATCTCTAACAGTGACAGGTTGAATTTCAAACCACGATGGTTCAAAATCCGGTATCAAAACAAACATATCCTGAAAATTTCAGCTAAATCGGTTCAGTAGTTTCCGTGTCTATAGGGGGCAAACAAACTAATGAACTTACAAACATTAATCAACTTGTATGCCTGAACAGAGAGGGAATTAAAGCTCTGGGAGAAACCTTAAACAAATTCCAGTGGACCAAGACGTGAAGAAAAGATGCTGGCGTTGGATATGACACACGTCGAGAAAACATGAGAACAGTATAACTAGAATGACTATGCACTGAAACCAATAAGGGCATCGATAAATAAAGGGGGAGGGGTGTGGGGCCGCCAGAGAAAAAAATTGTAAAATGGGGAATTAGACAGTGAAGCTGAAAAGGCAGGAAGGACATGTGGAGAACCGCATGCTAAGGCGAAGGAAAGATCGAATTGGCGTGA